CAGTCTCAGCTTCTCCGTGACTTTGAGTGTTGAATAAGCCACTGTAGGGTGATGTCAATGTTGTCCTTTTCTTTGCAAGAGATGGAGTAGCAGCAGATCTCTCGGTCCTGGATGGCAGACAGATTCATTTTCTCAATCAACTCCTTCTCATCCAATGCTCCGAGGAGGTCTCGCTTGTTACCCAGGGCTAAGACCGGGATGCCCTGCAGCTGGGGTTTGTCCAGTAGGTTGTGGAGCTCGTTCTTGGAGGCCTCGATCTTTTCCTGGTCAGCGGCGTCCACCATGTACCCAATGGCACTCACTCCTCGCAGTAGCGAACGGGGCTGTCCTCCAATGTCCCAGAGCTTGATGGTCACATTCCCTTTGGTGATTTTGCGCATATTGAAACCCACGGTGGGAATCATGTCTTCATTAAACTGTCCTGACACGATCACGTTGACGAAGGTGGTCTTGCCCGAGTACTGCAGCCCAACTAGCGTGAGCTCCATCTCCTCCTTCCAGAACAGGGCCTTGAACCAGTCCAGCAGCTTGTTGAACAAAGCGATCATGGTCTCTGCTGCCGGCCCCGCCCCGTGCCGTTGCCGGGTCCCCTGGCCTCGCTGCCCTCACGCTGCAGCCCAGAGCGGCCCCTCCCCACTGAGGCCCGGGTCCCACTGCTCGGTGCCGGCGGAGGCTGGAGCACCGAGAAAATCTTCTTTACTGAAGATGAAGAAAAACGTTTATAACCAAAGTACTTGCGTGATTCGGAGGTAACGCAGTCAGGTGTCCTAGTGATGTGATCCTTCTGGAGTGGTGCTGCTTAACTAACACAAAGGCCACGCCTTTCTGACGTTTTCAAATTAGCTGCAGACATCTGAGGAACCTCTTCACATGTGCTTTCCAGACTCAGAAACCAATGGAGGGTCAGCTATGAGCTGTTTCAGCTGGACGGCAAGAAAAGTGTGAGTGCAGCAGTATCACCTTCAGGGCTTTTGTCCCATCATTTTGAGTCTTTCCAACATTCTGAGTAACTCTAGGATCCTGATTCAGCACCTTGGCTTCTTAGTTCTTTCATTGCTCCATTTTCACTGACATTTCTCCTTCCATCCCAGCCCCCTGAAGCCAATGCTGCTCGTAGGATCTTGTCAACACTAAAACCATACTACCTCTCAGTCTTTGTGGAGCACAGCTCTTGACATTTCAGCTGTAACAGAGAAATTCAAGTAGAAAAGTTTCTACCTGATCGAAGGTTTTAATGGGAGATAATTAGATTTCTTTTTTTTTAATTTTAAGAAAAGCCAGTGCAAAATATTACAGTAACAGAAAGCTAATATATCTATGGAAAATAAAAATTTACAAGTCACATGTTGTAGAGATGGTGGGAAGAGGAGTCAAAAGAAAAGGGAGAGATTCTAGTCTTCGAACTATATCAAGTTTACAGAATGAAACAAAAGCAGTCCCCACAGAAAAATTCCTAGAGTCCACTTCAGTCTTTTAAAAGAAGTCAATAACAAATACAGTAATCTGATGATGTTTTCAAAGTAATAAAGATGATAGAATCATAAAGCAACTGAGTGCTAATGAGAAAGAAATGTCTTAAAGTTAGCCCTTAAAAAATAAAAAATAGATATAATTGATATAAGTTTACCATTTAAAAGGGAATAAAATATATTATTTAACCAAAAATCTGAAGTTTATGTTTTAAAAACTAAATTAATGCTATTTTCAACTTTGCTCTGTTATAATGAATGATAACAGAAGCCCTGATGCCTTTAAATTGTGGTGTTGGAGAAGAGTATGAATATATCATGGACTTCCAAGGGAATAAACAAGCATGTCTTAGAGAAAATGCAACCAGGGGGCTCCTTAGAGTCGTTGTTGTTGTTATGTGTCATCAAGTCAACTACAACTCATAGCAACCCTACAAACAATAACTCTGCGCTCTGCTCTATTCTGAACCAACCTTACTGTCTCTGACACACCTACCTTCATTATTCCTGTTACTGTGTCAATCCATCTCACCCAGGGTCTTCCTCTCCTCCACCTGTACTGGTCCCTCCTGGTAATATGCCCAAAGTATGTGAAGCAAAGCTTCAAAATCCTTACCTCCAAGGAGTAGCTTAGTTTAACCCTCTCTAGTAGAGACCTGTTTGTTCTCTTGGCAGTACATGGTATGTTCAATATTCTTGTCCAGCACCACCACCAAAAGGCATCGATTCTTTTTTCTTTTACCTTTGATCATTGCCCAGCTCTTTGATGTATAGCAAAGAATTATGAAGACTATGGCCTGCATCTGGCACACCTTAGTCTCTAGATTAACATTGTTCCTCTTCAGCACTCTGGAGAGGTCCCTGACAGCAGATTTTCCTATTGCAATTTGTTTTTTTTTTTTATTTCCTGACTGCTGGTGCCAATAGTATTGATTGTAGACCCGAGAAAGCTGAAATTGTTAAATCTCAATCTCTTTTTCATCTATCATGGTGCTACCAGTTGGCCCTGTGGTTAAGAATCATTGTTTTCTTCATGTTGATCTTTACTCCATATTGAAGACTACAGTCCTTGACCTTCTGCAACAAATGTCGAAGGTCCTCCATTATTTTGGCCAGCAAGGTTGTGTTATCTGCATAATGTAGGTTGTTGATGAGTCTTCCTCCAATCCTGTTATTACATTCCTACTTCACCTCACATATTTTTTGCCAGGAGGAGTCAGTCCTTGGGAATAAAGAAAGGTGGAGGGTCAACAAAACAAAGAAAGACCCTCAACAAGATGGATTGACACAGTGACTGTAATAGTGGACTTTGGCATTGTGAGGATGGTACAGGATAGCACAAAATGCATATCTGTTGCTCATAGGGCCACTACGAATTGCAGTCAGCTCGACAGCACCAAACAACAGCAGCATAATAAATTTAAAAATTATTGCTAAAATTATTTAGAAAATAAAAATATTTCCAAAAAATGATTTCAAAAGGAAATATCTCAGCTAGTTCAACAATCAGAAACACTTGAAAGAATTGAAATAAAAATATGCATATACACAAGCTGTGCTCAGGTGAAATCTTTTATATTCTCCAGGGGAAAATAATTCCAATGCTCCCCAGATCTACAATCCCTTATTTACAATTCTGAAATCCAAAAACATTCTACAAACACAGATTATTTTTCCATAAAACATTTGAAGGCAAAACCTGTTTAGAACTCACTAAACAGCACAATTTGACCTGAATTTATTTGAAGCAATAATATTCCATTTACTGTTTACATATTTTGCTGTGAAATATTAATGTATTTTACTAGGTACTTTAGCCCTAGCACCCACCGGGTGAAACATAGAGTAAAATGTACCTTATTGCTTTATTAACTTTCTAAAAACATAAAGACTCTCAATTCTAAAATCTAGCTGTACCCGAAGGTTTCAGAATTAGCTTGGGGGACCTGAATAATCTCTGACAGAGAACGGAAGGGGATGATGAAAATTTCTAAATTATTCTGCAAAGTTTGTTCAACATTAATTTAAATTTTGGTTTAAGAAAAAAAAAACATGAAGTCTTATGCCTTTATACTAAAGAATCTAAAAGCTGATTTGAGTATTATTTTTTACTTTGCCAATTTGGTGATAAAAAGGTGGTCCACAATTTAATATTCAAGTTGAAATATTAGTACTCATCCCATCATCATCAAAACATCACTTTTCCTTCCTTTCTGGAAAACATCTTGTGAATCTCGAAGAAACTAATCAAGAAAGTGGTACTGGTAACAGGTTTCATAAAAAGAAGAAAAAGGGAGGGGGGAAGGTAAAAAGCCTGATCAGTCCACCAGAGGGCCAAGTGTTACTGTTGCTACTATTATCAGACCATACACACTATAACTCTATTATAAAGCATGTGACCAGCAATAGTTTTCATTCTTGACTTTGGACCAAAGTTGAGAATGGAGCAGGTATTCACAGTCAGCTATGAGAGAAGTTTCAGTGCCCTTGGCTCGTTGCCACAACAATCAGGTGGTTGAAGCTTGTACCCCCTAAACTAGCCCTGCAGCCATTTCTCAGTATGCCAGAAACAGGGAAGGGTACAACCTTCTCCAAGTGGAACATCCATACATGGTGGTTGAAGTTCATTCAAGATCTGAGCACTCACTGTTACTGCTGCTCATTTGCTCAGCTCTTTCTCACCTCCTAGCTGTTCATTCTAAGATTGCTAAGCTGTTTTAAGGTGTCTAGGTTACCGCCTCAGCCACAGGCTGCAAGCTGGCACCTCATTCCACTATCTAAAAATTATTAAACTTTAGGAAAGGAACAAAGGCTTGTCACAGTCCAAAGGCCTATTCATTTTTTGTCTGTTGTTAAATGCTCTCAAGTCTATTTTGACTCGTAATGAGTCTATGTGGCAGACTACAACTGCCCTATAGAATTTACTAGACTGCAATTTTGATGGAAACACATCACCTAGTCTTTGTCACCAACACCTACAGCTGCTAACTGTGCTTGAACCACTCACTCACTCTGTGAGTGACTGAGAACCACTGAATGACCAGATTCTTTTTCTTTGTTGTTTAGCCTTAATTATGTTACATGCAAAAGAAAATCACATAAACTGAATCATGCAAAATAAGTAAAATAGCAATGCTCTTCAAAAAGCGGCACTGCAATTCTGAAGGTACACGGTTCGAGGCCACCAGCTGCTCCATGAGAGAAGAATGGGCAATCTCCTCCCATGTGATTGACTGCCTCTGAAAACCCACGAGAGCAGCAACTATGGGTTGCCTCTGACTCTAGAGTACTCAATAACAATCACAATCACTAAGTAGGAGTCAAAACAGGACTCAAAGATTCGATGGGGGTGGGGGGAAGACTAAATAAAACACCTTATCACTAAATCAAAAGACAGAATATTTTCTTAGAAATTAAGGAAGTGACTTATGTATGCATTTTCTAACCACCGCAATAAGACTATCTCATAAAATAAGATTACTTCTTTGATATGATAAAAAGTAGAATTTACCTCAGGCCAGAAGTTGTTAATTGCTGATTAAAATTAACAATGTTCTCATTGTCATAAGATAATGACAAAGCTATTTACAATCATAGTCACTATCCATAGTGACTTTGAAACTCTAGACCTGACTTACCCAAAATGGAAGTCATTAACCACATAAGGCTAACCAAGCCCTTGTAGCAAGTTTAAACTGAGATGTGCTGTAAATATAAACTAGACAAGATTTACAAGAGCTAGTATGGGGGGAAGATAAAATCTATAATTTTATTTTTGTTGTTAAGTGCTGTCAAGTTGAGTATGACTCATAGCTACCCTAGAAATGAAAGATCTGAACCCAATCCTGTCCTGCACCATCCACATACTTCCTCACACACAAGAGCCCATTGCAGCAGTTACCCTTTCAATCCACCTGATTATGGGGCTTCCTTTCCCTCACTGACCTTCCATCCTTCCCAACATCAAGTCCCTCTCTAAGGAATAGCACCTCCTAGCAATATGTTCAAAGTATGTGAGGTGAAGCCTCATCATTCTTGCCTCCAAAGAGTACTCCAGCTGTACCCTCTCCAAGACATATATGTTTATT